CTTATGTTTGAGTGGTGGTATAAGGGTTGTAGATAGTATAATATAGTTCCTGCAAGGTTTCTAATTATTACAACTAGGCGAGTAGTAGAGCTATGTTGAATTCTCTTCTTCAGATTTCAATTTGCTGTGGGTCATTGTAATTGGATGTGGTTTTTATATCATTTATGTATGCATGCATTTTATGTTAAGGCATGGTATTGGTGTTTAAGTTGACTTGTTGGCCAAGGTATAGATAGTAAAATTTTTTGTTTTTTTTTGCATGGTGTGAGAAATTCTTCTCTGTCCCAAGCAGAATGTCATCATAGATCATCTATCCATCGCTATATGATGACAATACATCCCATTTAATTAAACATATATTTTTTGCCTGTAATAAATAGTTCAGCGCGTTCCCCTTCACCCAATCATTGAAACATCTACTCGCAGTTTTATGTTTTGTTTTTCGGGTTACTTCAAAGTGATTAAATGAAGGAAAACACATAAGGAAAAAATCAAACAAAGACCCCGATATCCTGTGAAATAACAACCCTATTCCTATTACCTTGTCTGAAATCAATACCCAAGAATGAAAAACCTCACTTACACCCTTTGTAACCAATTTATTTCCATATCCTACTTTACTTAATTATAGTAATTTTACTGTTACCGGTAACTTTAATTACTTATTACAATCTGGACTATAATTCAGCAATAATAGGCTCTAATTTGGGGAATGAAATGGTCTCGCCCACCTCTTCATGCACCCAATTCTGGCAACTTTGGTTGGGCAACTTGGCATTTGACTCCAACTATAATCAGCTTGGCAATATGTTTTCAATAGAATCTTCCTTTTATATTTTAATTAACGATTAAAAGTTCGATCAATTTGGCAATGGCAACCATTACAAAAATATCAATATGGTGTGGCAAATAATTTTTTTCTTTTCTAGTGTTTATTTATTTTTTTTGTTTACTGTATAGTATACCCTAAATCTATCGCGTTTTATTCTTACTTAAATAACGTCTCAGTGGTTGTGTGTGTGTGTGTGGCTGGTGGGTGCATGTGAGCGTGTTCGAAATACCTTAATAATTTTAGGTGAGTAAACACGTACCACTTCCTCTTGGCAAAACCTTCTATCTTATATTTTGTACGTTATAAACCTTATCTAAAGTTTTGTTTGCTCCCCTGATTTCATAATCAGTTTTTATTTATTTAGTTTTATCTGTCAAATGTATTGTTATGCTGATTATGGAGTCGAAATAAACTTATACTTATACATATTTAATAATATAGATATTGAGTCTCAAACTATCTCATCAACTTGAGAAGACTCGATCACAAGTTTTTTATTTTAACATGCAATAGCTAGCTTACTAATGAATGGATGCATTGCAGAATTGACTGAACTTGGTTCGTCCAATCACTTTAATTACATTTTAAAATAAAGTCAGTATGTGATTGGGTAGTGCACAAATTACTACACCAAATCAGAGTTATATTAACATTTCTTTCGTATTAATACAGTTGGGATGTAAAATAATAAGAATAATTGCCTCTGTAATTTATCAAGAATAGTCATTTGTACATCAGAACCTGTCCCATTTCATTCTTTGTTTGATTTTTATATCTGACAAGGAATATAATTTAAATATATCTGGCTTGTGTCAGTGTCTGGTAAGATATGCCAAGCCAAAAAAAATAATAAAATACGGAACAGAAGTTTTAAATATACACACTGCTGCAGAGGCGTAGCTTAGGGGGGGCAGTGGGGTACATATGTCCCCGGGCGCCAAGGTACAGGGGCGCCAAAATGGGGCTTGCAAAAATTTCACAAGGGTAAAAAATGGTCACAAGCAAGATCGCACCGGCGGCAGACATCTAGTCTTAGTACATGGCAAACTGCACACTTGGTCAGACCACTTACGACTGCCGACGTCATCACGCACATAGCTCGCTCACGGTCAGATTTCCATCGTAATTACATGGCCAAAAAATCTGGCCGGGAAACAAAGCAAAATTTGATTTGGTAACGTTAGGTAACAAAATGCACCGCGTTAATTACGTGGTTCTGTATCGTTAAGTTCTTGCCTGCGCACTCCGATGTAAGTTGATATTAGTACTGTGCTGAAGACAAATGGAAACGGAATTTGGGTGAATGATGTTAATACAGGTTTTGAGTAATACGTGGTTTTGTATTTCGTTGTTGTCAAAGTACCGTACTTTGCGGCAGAGTTACATAAAATATATTATACTGTGCTAAAAGACCCTAATGCCGTTTTCGACAATTCGTCGAGAATGCACAGATTTTGTAAATTTCTACGACACGGACATCAATGGCCACGAACTTTTCACCGAAATTGGAGATTGCAGAATGCTGCTCAGTAACAAAACTGTAGGTCAACCAGAAACTCCTTTGGTTCTTCTTGGTTTTATTGTGTCTTTTGGAGACGACGTTTTACCTAATCTGCGAATCTCTCCACAAATTTTGTTAACAATACCAGTTTCAATTGCAAGCTGTGAACGGTCTTTAAGCAAATTGAAACTTATTTTGTCGTATTCGCGTGCATCAACGGGACAGGATCGTTGTTGAAAGAGAAACATTGGGGGAAAAAAACAGATTTTGATGACGTGTTAACCAGTTTACGACAGTGAAATTGAAAAAATGAACATTACATTTGAATTTACATATACATATATTTTTGAATAAATAATAAATATATAAATAAATATAAATTTGAATTCACTTATCGTCACGCTAAAAACCGAATTGCGTAAGTCATTTTTGGCGGTTTTGAGTTTTTTCATAAAATAGGTATTTATGTAATGCTGCGCACCTGTCTGTTTACTCAGATTTTATTTTAAGACTTCCAAAACCCATAAAAATAGAGATTTTGTATGATATGCAAATTTGTTCAATTGTTCCGTCATAATGAATTATCTTTGTTTAACGCAGGACTATTGTGACGTCACAAAGGCAAAATAACCTCGGCGAAGGATTTTCGAGTTTTTGCATCTCAGATTCTAGCTTTTCAATTTATACTACTGTATAGGAAGGCGTGCACTTGTGATATTCACTGTCTGAGTCCAATTCACCTTGGTTGACTTTCATATAATGGTACATTACTGTTTTATTCTTTATATTTAACTTTAGTCTTATTTCGGTGGATGTGCAGAGCGTGTTATATTGATGAAATATATACTTTTAAACATAAAAAATAATGTAATTGAAACAGATTAGCTATTTTGGATTGTTCGGTTTTCAGGACTGGTACATATAGTCAAGTTGCAAAATTGCGTATGTCCCCTAGTCCTAGACACATTTTTTCCTAAGTCACAGTGCGCCATTATGACGTCACATGACTGCGTCATACAAATTAATTTAAATCCGGCTACGATCAAAAAGTTGAACTATGGCAAATTAATGGCATAGCAGTATCATTAGGAAGTTTTTTTACGTTTTCCTCAAAACAGCTAAATATGACTTACGCAATTCGGTTATTAACGTGACGATATATAATTTGTTTTTACATATACAATTAAATGCAATAGAAAACATGATTAAACGTGGGGGTCGGGGCGCCAATTTTATATTTTGCCCCGGGCGCAAAATATCCTGGCTACGCCTCTGCACTGCTGTGACATGAATGAACTGTTATCATTGTTTAATGAACGGAAAACGTATGCCGGCAATTTATTAACGACTTAAAGCATGACATCACTAGCGCGCTTTCAAGTTTACAGTCGAGAACATTCAATCATTTCAGTGTGACCCGGTGTCTGCGGCAAGTTTTATTCCGGGGGATTCCCCTCAACCGAGATTGGGAAGCCCCCACTGTTGTAAATTGTATCCCGACTTAACTTCTCGTTCTTCTTTGTTGTAGATTCAACTTTCAGTGACATGCAGACAATTTATAGTAAGTGTTATAGCAATATCAGATAATACAATAATAAATATTTTATAATCTAATGCTTTTATTGTAATAGCCTATAAGTTACAGAACGTTTTAATGGCTAACTGTCTGGCGTAAAATCAGAACATCTGTATATTTGGATGGATCATGCTAAAACCTGATAATCCTGACGAATTGCAGGTTAATACTGTAATAAGGCAGTGCAAATAATGGCAAAAATCAAAGGTTATTGCCTGGAAAAGGTATTCAACATGTTTATTGATCCATTAGGTAATATCAGCTATATTCTGGAGGCCAGTTTATTTCAATCAGGTTTTTTATCATGTCTCGTCTATTTCCTTTTAAGTACACCCTTCTTGTTATAGTTTTGAGACTTAACTATTTTCTAATTCTGTTTCATAACTGGTGTGTTGCTGTTTGAAAACATCAATGGGACAAATAGGTTTATCATTGGTTATGAATGTTTCTGTATATATTGAATTTAATGACTGTACACAATCACAAAGTGGGAATTGGTTAACCTTGCAGTCTTGCCCGGCCCCTTCTGATTATATTTTATGAATATTATTTATTGTTTACCCTTTTACTGTAATGTGTATTTTGATGATATATTCAAAATTAAATCATTATTTCTCACTCACTCTCTATTTTTGAATTAAATTTTTTTAAATTTTCATTTTGGCAAACACCCAATTTGCAGTATTATGATACTACACTTGCTCTTTGTCAATAAGTCATTAGATTTACTCAAAAGTACAAAATGATGGTGTTTATTTTGGCTAAAAAAAAGATTTTTTTATAGTCCAAATAAGACAAAGACAGAACATGTGACGTATCTCATGGTGCATAATGAAAACGCTGTTCCGTAATTTATTTTGGATGTTTCAGATAAAACATTTTTTAACTTCTTTTTCAGTTTTATTCAAACATAACTGTTCAAGACAAATTACTCAAATTTATATTCATATTGTGTGATATTTGTCTTCATTACTCATTTATATGATTATTATTAAAATTAGTATTTATTTGAAATTGGCATAAAAAACAGTTTATAGATTTTTTATTTTATAGCATTATAATTCCTTCTTATTGACATTTTGTACAGAGGTCACTAAATTAAAGCAGGAATTTCAATAAACTTAATATTTTATCAAATAATTATTCAAAATGAGTGACTCTACAGCAAAGCTCTATTATTTAGAGTTTTTATGTGGATACTTTTTGGAACCAAAAGACATCATGGACTATTTTCCTGGCGAAACTGGTCTGTTCACGTCAGGTTGGTAATTGTGTAGATTTTAATTTATGTAATATTGCCTTTCTTTGTTCATTTTCATAAATTGCTAATTGGCTCCTGTCATTTAAACTTGCTGCATTTAATAATTCGAAGAATTGGATACCCATTGACCAGAAATTTGTAATCTGTTTATAGAAGACTGATGAAATTCTTGGGTAATAGTTTTCTGCAACTGTTTCTCAAAATTCTTCGTAGAAATAGGTTTACATGAGGCTCCTTAAAATATGTTGTTGTATTGACTATGAAAACTATATGAAAACATATTCACTTTGATAGTTTGTTATAGTTTTGATATTCATTAATTTTTAAGTTGGAGATGAGTTAATGTCTATTCCAACAACTGGTGACAATGGGAGGAAACAAAGAGTCAACATTTTTCTTGAATGGCTCAAGAATGCAGATGATGGTTATAGTGGAAATAAATACCAAGAATTTATTGATGTTTTGAAAAAAGGTCATTTTTTTCTATTGTATAATCTAATCGATATTAACCCTACTTTCACTATTGTTCCATTTGGTTTCCAAAGAAGATAAAATACGTTTGCCAAAGTTTGCGAACTTTGGCTGTCTCATTTCCTTTCACATATCTACAACTGGACTCATCCAGACGCCCTAAACTGGATCTGTACAATTCCAGCTATTCTCATACCTGGTAATGCTATGACATGCTATATGATAGGGCCACCCAATTGAATTTTCCGTTTCCACAATAATTTTACAAATTTTCTTATACTATCATTCTTCATGTATTTTTTAAATAAGTAATATTTTGAACCCTAACATCCATGATATTTCCAAGCTCATTCGCTTGCACTATTATTGAGTTTGATGTATATACTTTTATCTCAATATATGTTTCATAGTAGCATTTTGATTCATTTTTTCTTCAATATTTCAATTTACAGAAGAGAGAAATTACTGTTGGCTTGTTCCTCTGTTGACGGATTGCACCAATTTCAATGCTGAATCTATATTTCGATATCTCAAAAAACCTGAAAAGATCAAAAGGATTTTTCAAGTGATTTTCCCTGCACTGGAAAATATTAATGTTAATGAAATACTTATTTATTTGAAAAGAGATCTTTCTGATGATGACAGGTTGGCACAGTTTTTTTAATCTATAAACTTTGCTTTTATATTAGGTTCTTCTCGAGCAAGTGAAGTCGCGTCCAGTGCTATTTTCTTGGGGCAATCATAAAATGGATTAACCAAAATGAAAAAATTTGATTATAAATCACAATTTTTTTTTATTACACGAAACACCTAAAATTGCATTTATTTTATTGAGTATAAACTTCTAGCATTCTTGACTGTATTATTATTTTTTGAGATTTATATCTTTTTTTCTTCCCTTCTTTGGTTATAGTAAATACTGATAGCATATTTCTGTTCAGTTGATTTGGTTATCTATTTCATTTTACATTCAGAGAAGAAGTTGAAAACATCACATCTCGATTAACTTCTAGGCATGGAATGTTTGCCCTATTAAACAAGCTGATTTACAAACCACCTGGCTGGATCAGTAGTTTCATTAATGCAGTAAAGGAATTAAATTACAATGTTACTTCTTCTATGTTTGATGATGCTGTTTATGCGGATTTAGCCACAGCTTTAAAAGATTATTTTGGTGAGTAAAATTATGTTCTAATTGGGATATTATTTCTGGAATTCAGTTGTAACTTTGTAATAATTGGAAATCGAGGCTTTGTTTTTTGGTTAGAATCATAAATTTTTTGCGCGTAAAAAATTTCATGGATCAGATATATTTTTAGCTACATTAAGCAGATTATTATAACTGAATATGTATCTGTCCAGAGCTATCTATGGAAAAAAAACACAGAATTACTTACACAGAAACTCTACTCCTTTTGAAGCTGATATTGACCAAATGAAACATAATATTCAGTTGGATAAAGAAATCAATGATTTATTCGTTGAAAAATAATTCCTGAAATCCCTAATTGATAAATATGATTTTTAATTGTCTCATAGAATGCTTTGACGACAGTGTAGAATTTGTAGTTGAAGAACAGCCAGAAGCAATGAATGAACAGATGGCATGTATTCACCAAGGAGCAATGAGTTCCTTTGTTAGTAATGTTGAAGCTTGTTTGGAAAAAAATAGTCAGGATGTTTGGATGTGGAATTGAAATGTAACACTGGCTGCAGCTTGCAATGCATCTATTGATCATTTTACTACATTTTTACTGTGTTTCAAGTTGTTCTTGAACTAAGAATTGGTTTTGTTTTCTAATGATTGATTCTTTTGTTAGTGATGTTGGGAAAAAATTGGTAAGGCTGTTTGGGTGTGGAATTGATATGTATTACTGGCTGCAGCTTGCCATGCATTTATTGATCATTTTTTTACATTTTTACTGTGTTTCAAGTTGTTGTTGAACTAAGAATTGGTTTTGTTTTCAATTGATTGATTAATCACCATCAAAATTTCAGTATTTATTGAGGAAAGGGTCTGTTTGTAGCGTATTACTTTTCTAATATTAATATTTCCACTGATGTTCATACTTTATAGGGCTCATTGTTTTGCCCTATACTTACGGTATGTCTTTTTCTTAAAGCTTGTTCCAGCCTGTGAATTTCATAGCGATGAATTCAAGCATGCGAGCACTAAGAACTCTTGTAGCCGTAGTTTACCAGTATTGACTTCACATTGAAATATTCATAGACTGCATGCTTGTTTGTAAATTGAAGATAGATTCAGCATGATTACTTGAAAGCAAACAATCATATACTTGCTTCTCTCAAATTTACTCTCTGGGAGTATATGAATCAAGCATTAAGAGGAGTGAAGAGAGCAGATAAAGCATCCATATTTCATATTATAAACCATGGCTATCTCGTCAGTCCAAGTCCCAGATGTAGGACTTGAACGATGTGGGAAGCTGTAAACTACCAGTGGTTACACTATCAAGGTGTCAAGTCCATTACTTTTATGCATCAAATTAGCCTTCACTAGGGATGGGCAATATAGAATGCCGAATCCTGAGGATTCGAATTCAAAGGGATCCGGCAATGGATTCGTTTTCTCCTCTTCGGCGCCGCACGTCAATTTTTGTATTTCAAATTTATTAATCAACGACGAGCGTTTTCTCCTGCGTCGAAATCTTTCTCGTTTGATTATACTTGTGTTTTATCGCAAAGAACTAAAAAAATCTTAAATTGCTGGAATAGGTGAAACATTCTTTATTTTAAATAAATGACTTTTCGTGGTTTTCGAGCTCTCCCGCAAAATGATGTGTGCCAGACGTTAGAAGTTGAAACATTATTTTCAATTAATTTAGATCAAATTTTATTCTTTACCACACCCGTTTCCGAAAATACAAAGTTATATCGCAAAACAAGGCGTTTTGTTACATTTACTTTGCAGTCTCATTGAAATACATATTTTTGGGAATTCAAGTCGCCGATGAATCCGCTCCTATCGTTCAAGCTCGACAGACGCTTGGCAGAGTGTCGGGCGAACATTTAGTCGACGATAGATTAAAAAAGTTGCCACACGTGGTGAAGACTGGCCCTAACTATTGATGGACATAATGCAAAGCGTATCGCCAAGACTCGGTAGATATATACCGATAATTTGCCTATAGATGTTATTTTACGAGTCTTTCTCGCAGGAAATAAACACGCTGACATATTTGAATTTAATTCACAGTCGTTAAATTTAATTTAGACCATTATTAAACGCGTCCTACCAAGTGCGGCACCCGTTGCAGCCGCATAAATCGCAGTGGCTTCGGTACGGCCTGTGTGTTTTCGGCGCTCTCACATTAACACAATTTAATGTTTTTGTAATACCTTTTTTTGTATTTTACAATTTATTATTATAGTGTATAACCCGCTATTTATTTTAAGATACTGTATAAATAGGCTATTTGTGGAGCACTTAAATTTTGAACAATTCAGAGCAACAAGTGATTTGTTAAAATACATTCACAGTAAGCTACATTCACAAATTTGCTTATCCATTCGGTATTCTGAATTCGTATTAAGTGTTCTAGAATAGTCAATCATTCTATATTGCCCATTCCTAACCCTCACCTTTAACCTTTGCAAGTAAATTACTGATGTAACGACAATATATTTTGAGTTCCCAATATGATATATTAATTTTATCTAGCCATGTCATGATATGTTTGAATTTTTTAATGTTCAACAGGTATCTGACGCAAATGTTCCGTCGTGTAGTTTGATGAAAAGAAAACAAAATGCTAATGATTGACCAACTTTTAAATTGGTCAACATGTTATTGAAATATATTATTGTAAACTGTCTTTCAATTTTTAGATGAAAAAGAGAATTTTCAAAAAGGTTTTTGGCTTCCTGAACAACAACATGTTGAAATACCAGCCCAACCAGCATCTATGCGTAAGTATATTATATACATGAATTATACATCTGAAATGTATTCATGTTTCCATCATCACAATAATTTTGGATAAACCAAACAACGTTCCCTACTCATCTGACATTTGTGAGCTTTTCTGTTCTGTGAGATCAACTTCTTGAATCATAGATTTTGATCAGCTCGTTAAATCTGAAAAAGTTTGCATACATTCTACTTTTCTATTGTTCTGCTAATTCTTGCTATGCGGATTCATCATATGCTAGCAACAAGATCCCTTGTTCTAATGTAATGTTCCATCTTTCAAATCTTTATAGAATGTTTATACTGCTTACTTTATTTATCATACATATACATGTTTATACATATATATATATATATATATATATTATTTCTAGAATATGAGCTTCGCAATTATCAAAAAGAGTTGTCTAAGTTAGCATTGAATGGCGCAAATGTTATAATAAGCGAAAGAACTGGTGAGTGTTTTATTTTATTTTAACATGTTTATTTATTAAAAATTATACGTGTAGTTTATTCAAAATATTATCAAACCAAATAATTTAAAATTTATTACTACCTTTTTTCCATTACTAGGATCAGGAAAAACCAGAGTTGCTGCTTATATAATAGGAGAACACCTTAAAGGAAATGTTACTAAAGTTGGTCAATGTAAAGAACAAAAAGTTGCCTTTTTTACACCAACTGGAGGACTTGCAGAGCAACAATGTGGTAAAATGAAAGACTATCTTCGCAACATAAAGTGAGCTTTAAATATTGAATCCGAACTATTTCTTTAGTAGCAAAAAGTGAGGAAGTCTGTGTAATGAATTTACTTGCACTTCTCTAAATGCTGGATTAAAAAAGATTTATGTTTTTGATACGAAATATAGAGTTTGTAGCAAGGAAATAAAACAATATTGCTCTCACATTGTAGTTTTAGCGTGAATTCCTTAGGATATATTTTGATCACATCAAGTTATATTCTATTAGAATGAGAGGATAGTAGCCTTTGACCTTCGCATAGGGCCTATCTGGGTTGGCACCGAGGGTTAAAAATGCCTGGTCAAAACTTCTTGCCTTTTCATTTATATTTCAAGTTATGGCAAATTAAAAAGATTCCGATTTTACACAATTTATAATAGCTCCATCTACATCAGTGGCTGTTTGTTTGGATTTCTGTCTTGATACTGTACTAGATATATCTGTGATGTTTCAATTTTAGTTGAATAAATCCTTCATGTTGTCAGGAAAATCAAATGAAATCATGACTATTATATTGATAATTTGTTTGTAGGAGGATTGACATGCTTCGTGGAAAACTTGAGGATGAGTTGGAGAAAGATTTTCAAAAGCGAATTTACAGTTCTGACTTGATTGTGATGACTCCACAGATACTGCTGAATTGTCTGGAAGTATGTATCAGCATAATATTAATACTATTTTCGATTTTAACTAGTTTTTTCTTATATCAAGAACTTGTTTTCCATTACAGTTATGTTGAAAACTGTGATACCATGTAGGATCTTATTATCTGGCACTCAATTCTAGAATTAGATATTTTTTTTATAATTACTTTTGTGAATCCTCTTTTCCAAACTGCTGGAAACGGGCTATCGTTGATTCAGCCTTTAAAACAGTGGTTCCCACCCTGGGGGTTGCTTGGAAACCAAGCAAGCGGCGCGAGATGTTTATGTCATGTTAACTATTTTGACATCACACGAACTCGTTTGCATTTCCGCGCCACAATGCGGAAAACATGCGGGCTTCGAAGCAATGCTGTGGAACGCCAGTATTTTGATACCAAGGGGTTTACTGCAGGGTATGCTCGTCGTCTATGTTGTTTCATCGTGAAGATTATCATACATCCTGCAGTAACATGATATGAGATTAGCTTTGTTGAGACCTAAACCACGAAATCGAGGTCGCGATGTATTTGTAAACCACCAAAGGGGGTCGCGAGTCAAAAAAGGTTGGGAACCACTGCTTTGAATCGACGGTTATCAGACCGATCCTGATAACTCTCACCCTATTTATCTTTTGTCAATCAGGAGCAAAATATTTTATTCAATATAGTCATTACTGGTAAACGCAAATAAGATGATCTTTTATTTGACAAGCAATATGGTGTACATCAAAAACGTTCTACCACTGATTTGTTAACACTTATAAATGAAAGAATATTCTGAGTGCATTTCACTTGTACTTGTTCAAATCACTGATACTGCTATGCATGAACGTTTGTCATATCTCATATTGAGTGCTTCTGTCGCTGCAATAAACCTCCAATGCCAAATTCAAAAAAGAATATAAAATATGATTAGCTTCTAATTGGTACCACACATGCAAACTCTTTCCCGACGACGAAATATTGTGTTGTTGTTGTTGTACTTTTTGCGGAGATGTTACAATGATTGGTGTTCTTTTGACCCTTCGAAACTTGTCCCTCAAAAAAAAAGTTTCTGGTCCTTAAACTCAGTTGACTATGAACTCATCCGTTTACAGTGTGTGTGTACCTATTTGAAAAATAATGTTACACCCAAGTTTTTTCCTGATCATATTAATATGAACTGCTTGTAGTCTCAATGCAAATCTGTATTTACTAGCTCTAGCTCCCAATTCTACAATGTAGTTCTTTATAGTCTCAGTAGCTTTTAGCACTTTAGTGTCTTCCCTGAACTTCGAATAAAGATCAATCTCCATTTATTCAGAGCAAGTGTGTGTGACCTTGCTTTGAATAAATTTTTCTAAAAATAATTTTATTTACACAATTTGTTCCCATGTTTATCTGAACTATCAATTTACATCAGCAAATTATTTGAGACACTCCTCTTTCAATGTTTATTATCATAGAAAACACAAATTTGAAATTTATCTTTGTGACTATAAGCAATTCAATTGCCAAAATAACCTCTGAACCTAACTTTATTTAGCATTTTTAATAAAACATGGAGCCTTATTACTGTATTGTATTATAATGTACAAGGAAATTTTGTTTGATAGGATAAATCAGTGAAATCATTGTTTGATTTTTCGATGATGATATTTGATGAATGTCACTATGTACATGCTTCCCATCCTTATGCTGAAATACTCGGAAGATATTTGATTGAAAAAAAGCCTACAGAAAAAAACATTCAGGCAAGAAATCTTTAAAATAAATCTAGTTTTCCTATCATCAAACGCATTATTAGACACTTCATTTTTGCTTGTATTAATTAGATCATTGGATTAACTGCAACCCTTGGAGTTGGTGCTTCAGCTAATATTGATGACGCTAAGGATCATATTTTCAAGTTGCTTGGTATCATGGATGCAGAGGATGGAATAGTATTTGTGAAAGATCCTGATAATGTAGATGAATTGAATATTGTTTGTCATGCTGCATCAGAAGGTGGGCATCTGGTTTCAGAAAAAAAATGGATGATTTAAAATAAAGAGTTTATGGTGGCATTGGAATCCTGTTTCATTACAATTAAAAGGGCAATTTACAAATATGCGGATAAGAAGTAGCACACTTCCACATTCGACATACACTATTGTATGTCATTCATTGAGCATGACATTGCCAAATGTGATCCACAAAATCTTTCAAAATCTCAAAAGCGAGATTGGAAGGAATATGAAGGAAATGAATATGTAATAGTCTTATTTAGAGACACATGCATTAATATCTTAAGATGAAAGTCTAGTAGTTGAAGAGAATCTTAATTTTTTTGACTTAACAACAATTTAATCAACAACAACATGAGTGAATCAGCAAAACTATCCACTTATTAACACACAACTGCTCAAGTTCAATGATGAGCAGCTGAAGGCTGTGTTGAAAACAATAGTTTAGTGACCTGGTAAAATTAATTTCAGGTTTTTAGAGTAGCATATTTTTTTTAAAACTAACTTTCAACCATTTTGTTTGTAGAATCTATTCAAATAGATATTGAAGATGATGATGGTCTTTTCAGACAGCTTATCAGAGAAACAATGACCCAGATAATTTTTTTGATTGAAAAACTTGGTGGTAAGACCTTCTTGAAGAATCGAAAATATCAAATAAGATTTATGAATTTTCCCCTCGAATTAACATATTTATTTTCAGTGTTCGAAGCTCTTGGAGGAACAGTTCCACGAAAAATGGGAACTATGACTACATTGGATAAAGAGTTTGAAACTTGGTGCTTTAAACTTCGTCACGCATCTGGAAATTTAAGTGCTGAAGACTCTAAGGGACTCGGAAGAGATTCAAGATCGTGTGCCGATGCTTTGCAGGTTGTATTTCATTTTTAACCGTAGAAATTTTAGTTTAACAAAACATATCCTAAGTATTTCTGTGACATCTTGGAATTCAACAAAGTTCACAATCAGGAGGCAAAATCTAATATTTTTATTGTATTGAAAATGTTTTTTAAGGAACACCGAATATTTGAATATCAAATATTATTATTATACAATCGAAGTTGAAACTAGGACGCTCCGGGTCGATATTCGGTTAAATTCGAATTTTTTTTGTTTCATACTTCGAAGTTTTAAAATCAGGGGATGCATAATACCAAGCGCCGAGGCTACTGTTACCATTGAATTCCTGATTACCTTTATATATGTAGCATAAAACAAATAAATGTTTTTCTGAATTAAAGTATTTATTATATGATACAGGAATATTTTTTAAACTAAGAAATGGCTGGATAACAATTTTTTCTGGGATTTCCAGTGTCTATACAGTGCATACACCCTTTGCTACAACTGTCATTCTACTTATGCAATTGCTAAGATTGAAGATTTTGTTGAAAAACATTACATTGCTGAAAAGGAAAAGAATACAACTGCAGAGAATAATCTGCATGAATTGATATCTGGTAAGCAGATACTGAAATACTTTGATGAAATCAAGGTTTTAATATCTGGAATTTTTTCTTTAACAAAGCAAGACTCGAGTTATTAACTAACCAAAAGAATTGCATTTCATTTCAAGAATTGTAATCATTGGCTTGCTAGAAATTTTTTATTTGCATACTGAACTACAGTATATATTATAGAGGTCTGTCCTGATGAGCCTTTACAATATGCATTGATGAAACAGGCAGCTAATGTCATGAAACGACCAAAACCTTATATTAAGTAAATTATGCTTGCTGGAATTGCTGTATATATGTTGCTATTAATATTATGTTAAACTTCACTTTCAACACATTTTCAATAGCAAGCTATATTTTATTTATAATTTCCAAGATGCTTCGAATAAACTGGTCAATTGTGTTGATGGAACGAAAAATAAAACATTGGATATCATGAAAGAAAAAATAATTACAAAGTCTCAAAATTATGATGAATTTAGATGTATGGTTATGGTTTCCAGGAGATACTTTGCTGGTTGTCTCAAGGTGAGTTCGGTATCTCAGTCAGTTAAGATCTTTCGTATACTACATTTTTATCAATATTTTATTTTAAATGCATCATAGCTAAATTATTGTATATACCAGTAATTTGTATCGTCATATTACATTTTATGGGCTGACATTTTGAGTAAATCGTGTCGCTACATACTTTGATTATGCAAAAAATCAGCAGTGCAAAATATTTGTAGACTAAGGATGCAAAAATCACATTCCTCTTTATTTATTTTACTTGTATTAGTGGTATATAAATGAGTAAAGTAAATTTCTAGTATTGTGTTATTTCTGAAGAAGTATAATTTTTTTAACATAACCTAACATTCAGTATCAAAGATGACAGTACATTGTCGTTTTTCTATGTACTATTTCAATTACAGAATTGGATTAGTGGAGATTCAGAGCTAAGACATCTCAAACCTCTGGTTTATATCGGAATTGGAAATAAAAGTTCAAGTGATTACTCAGGTATTAATTGCACTGTGTTAATCTGCAAATTAAACATAGAATGATAAAAAATAATATATTAACTAGGAATGTATTAACAAAAAGTACATTTTCTTTTTGGTAGGTATGAGTCACTCAGCTCAAAATGCAGCCCTTCAAAAATTTAAAAAAGGTGATTGCAAGGTACTTGTCTGTACCCCCGATGCTGCTGGGGTAGGAATAGATATTCCAGATTGCAACCTGGTTATAACAATTGACTGTGTGAAAAACGAAATATCCAAAGCACAACTTGCAGGTACTTAAAATTTTAAGATATTGATTATTGGCACAAAATGAATAATTTCGAAGTGATAAAAAACTGTCCAAAATTCCTGCTCTTTGTATACAATGAATTTAACTTGGATTTTTTTCCACTTATCATGTCTGTGCATCTGATATATTGAAATGGTATTTCATGGCTAATTTGCTTGAACAATCCTGTCATATTTGTCAGGATGAAACATAAAATGCAATATAAAGTGTAATGTTGTATTGATAAACCTAGACCTAGACCAGAGGTTCCCAAATTTTTTGTGGAGTTGCGACCCACTATTTATTACCACAGCTTATGGCGACCCAAAACAATTTTTTTTTATGACATAACACTGAACACAGCAATGGCTAATCATCGTAACTACCGTGCTTCCTCGAAAATAAGTTCTGGCCTGAAAATAAGACCGAATTTGAATTTTGGAAATGATTTTAATTAAACCCTACCTTTAAAATGAATTTAAAATGTGTGGGAGGGGAAAGGTTCAATGACTTGAGGTAAGGTGAAGATCGCACCACTATTCAAGATTGTGTGATTTCACAATCACAATTATGATATTTGTCACTTGATTTTTGTATGGGAAATACAAATAAAAACAATGGATGTCGGTTTTTATATAATGTTTATTGAAAAATCTCGTGATTTTCTACAATGTAATTTTATTTTTGATAAATGAACTCAAAAGATCTCTTCCGAAAAAAAAAAACCCAAAGTGTTATTCTTCAAAGGAAAATAAATCTAAATCCTGTCTAAATTTCGGGGAATCACGGTAAGAAGTGTTGTACAAAGTGTAGCAAATTTTTGTTCCTTTGAGAAGATCGTAAAGAGGAAACTTTGACAGATTAGAATTTAAATTCAATTTAATTTAATTCGTTTTTTGAAGATTTATGTATTCAAGTCGCCACCGATCCTAATACCCAGTATAATTAATCAAAGCTTTCTTTTCACGACCCACTAAGATTTCTTTTGCGACCCACCAGTTGGTCGCGACCCATAGTTTGGGAACCGCTGACCTAGACTGTAACTTTTTGTCAGGTCGTGTCAGAGCAAAAAATGGGGAGGTTCTCAATATTTACTTTGGAAATAATATTCAAAAAGATAAACTCAGCGGAGAGAAACTGCAGCTCATGGACAAGGCTAAAAGACAGATTCACAAAATGCTGAACAAAAATCCTGATGATTATAGGAATAAAGTAAATAATTTGTATCAGTATTTGGTGTATTGAAAAAATCGTGGAATTGAATTGACAAGTTGTTATTATTCGTCTAATAAAAATAATTTTAGATAACACTTTCTTGGTGCTTATTAAAGTTTCATGTTTTCTATATTTTCTTAACATTATGAACTGGAAATTTTGTGACTGTATAAGTTAAATCTCAGTGTTTTCATAACTATTTAGAATATATTCAAAAATTGGTGTAAGGTTAATGTATGCAAAGTTTATAGCCAAGTGATTCCATCAATTTTACTCTGGTAATATCAAGTAAAAAGGCCGACCACTAAACAGAGAAGAGGAACCTGGTTTTGCATATTTTTTAGCTTAATTGCATTTGATTTTGCTCAAAATTGATGTTGTGTCGCTTCTATAAAATACAACACGCTGTTACGGTCACGACTTACAGTTTGGGAACCACCATTCCACAGTCTTCTTCTTGTTGCAAATCAAATAATTTAACTGTTATAGATGCTTTATGGACAAAAAATGGCATTAGATGATTTGGCAAAATCTGGAATCAAAAGGCAAGGCACAAGTCCTTTACGAGTTGGAGGAGTAAATTTATTGTTGTGTCGCAAATGTAGTGTATTTGTCTGTTACACTTATGAAATAATCAGGTGTATAAAACTATTCTTACAATAACGTATTCTTATGTAAATAGGCGTGAGATGGTAAATTTCCAATGAAACATAAAAATTGTTAAATTTTATTGGTTCAGCTCGACAACTATAAAAATTGTGAATCGCTTCAATGTTTTTTTTTTCATTTACTCCACTTATTTATCGATTAATTACAAATTATTGAAAAGTTATAAACTGAAAAATATGTTATTGAGCTAAACCACCAAACGATATTCATTTGGAGAACTTTGAATGTTGTCTAGTCAAACAATTTGTTTTTATGGAATCTTGAGATGAGTTATATTTTAATCTGTTGCATTTCAGAATGAATGAATATCACCACACAGTTGATCGCATTGATTTCAAGGATAAGTATGCAAAAGTCCCACACCCATACAGAGGAATTAAAATTGGGGATGAATATATGACACATTTCAACAAAATTCGCTGTGATAAGTGTAAGCTTAACTGGGGAAATGAGGTGAAGTGGAAAAATTACCTGATGCCAATTATCACGATCAAGGGTTTTAAAATTAAGGAGCAGAATACGGAAAACATTTTTCAGCCAAGAAAATGGAAAGCAACACTTCTGAAAATTCCTGAAAAAAGCAGAGACAAGTCTCTTTATGATAAACTATTCACCAAGTGCAACGAAAGTGAAGATTCTCCTAACAGCCCTGAGTTGATTCGTTAATATGTCCACTGTGATAAACAATATTATCACACTTGACTTTTTTTATTATTTCAACATTCCATAATAATTTTATATAATTATATTCTTCATGAGTTTGAATCTTGTATTTGCCTACTTTATGTATTACCATAATAATTCCATCTTCTGCCAGCGTGTATTTCTGGGAATGCTGAAAAACATTATTTCCATTGTAATTTAATTTTAATGATATCACTTTATATTGATTTAAGTTATTTAAAAAGTAAGATATATTATGCATAATGTACGAGTATGCTGAAACCGTTTCAATGATTTCACTAGTCTTGATGACTCTCGGCATTTGGTATCAGGTAATATGTTGAAATGGATATCAGCTGGAATTTCTACTAAAGGAAATTGAAATACATATGTTCTATTGTTTCCTGTTTTAGTAATCAATTCATTTGATATAAGAAGAAGCGATACCGAATGTCAGAAATAATTCAGTATCTTTCTAGACAATAGATTTATTGTATTTGTTTTTTGAACGTCGTGTTATTTTTGCCAAGTTGTATACTTCATCATTACTGTATGTTTGTGTATACTAATTTAATCAAGTATGTGACTAAATTTGTCATATCTAAAATATTTGACTCTGTTTGTATTAATGGAAAATCGAAGACACGATGGTTCGTTCACAAAAGACTAAGATCCAGGTATTTTTATTATGATTATAAAGTTTAGGAACTTTTGAAAATTTTAAATTTAGTTTTAGAAGTAGTCAAAATATTATATTCTTCATGGCTTTGAATATGATTATGTAAAATCGCTTAGAAAGATACGTATGTAATACAAGGTCAAACTGCTTATTAATTTATGAATAATAGACTTACAAAGATAATTATTTTCAAGTATTGAATATTTTCCCATGAGAATCCCTGCAAAGTTACCGTAAAAAAAAATTGAGCTGTTCAAGCTGCAAAAACTATGTCCTCAATCAACATCTATCTTTATGTCAAGTAAGCAGAAAATGACCACTATAAAATAGGCTCGGGTTCCAAATAGCGACTGTCATAATGGCGACTTGATAATAGCGACGTAATCAAGTGAGCGACTGTCACAATGGCGACCGCATTAAAACTGCGACTGATATGTTAGGGTTAGTCCAAATAAAATGTTGTTTTAAAGTCCCTTTTGGTTTCAATCTTTCACTACGCTATGTTTTCCTGTTTGTGCGTGCATGCGTGTGTAGAGAGGTCCCTAACCCTAACACGAGTTAAGTCGCTATCTTAACAGTCGCTGTTTTAATGCGGTCGCCATCCTGACAGTCGCTCACTTGATTAGTTCGCTATTATGAAGTCACCATTATGACAGTCGCTATCCGGCCTGGATACCATAAAATATGTTCTGCTATAACTGTAAAAATATGTCTGTTAGGAGTTTACAATGATAATTATTAATGAAATATTTACAGATATTTCCTGTTTTCATTAATTATGTCCAACATGACTTTAATTACAAGCAATTATCATTGAAAAAATACTAATATATGAGGAAATATCCGCTAAAGTCCTAATTTATATGTTTCGAACAATAGTTTGATGCAAAAATTTTGTACCCTGACCTCATAGCATCTAGTTTCAGACTGTCCTTCATGTAATATTTTATATGGACATAAACCAAAAACAGGCCTTAATTGATAAGAAGAAATTGTCTTGTTACAATTTAGTTCATAAGTTTAAAGTTTTTACAATTGAATATAATGACCATTTGGTCATCATATTCAGTCAACTGTTAATATTTTAAAATAACTCAAAACATTTTTCTGATGTAAACATCATCAGAGTCTTCAAAGTATTTTTGTATTTTAGTACTACTCCCATCCAAAGACGAAGAAAACAATGTTCTGGATATGTGACTCATGAATTATTTGAATTTATATCATATGTTATTTTTTTTTACGAAAAAGCTGATGATAACTAGATGCCTTCTGTGTTTAAAAGTATATAAACATCATACCATAATAAGAACCTACTTTGATAATTGAATCTTTTTGAAAGTACGCCTTTTTATACCCAGGAATATCAGATTTAGTAGTCTTTTTCACAAGTAACCAGTTTACCAATATTGCAATTGATGGAGTTTAGGTATACGGTATATTATATCATGTCAATGAAATTTAACTGCTTTGTGACATTACAAACTAGTTGAAGGCTTTTCAGCATGAAATTTTTCTCATATTACAGCTGATTTGTTTATATCATGGAAATAGGGAAATGAACACAATTCTTCATGTATCCAATAGTTGAATAGTATAACCGTAAATAACTAAATATATACTACAATTGTTTCTTATCGATTTTAATCGGTAAGTATGTTGATAGGTATTTGTCTGTCTGTCTGTCTGTTAGATGCACGCGATATCTCACGAAAGCGGAATTGAATCTGCTCCAGATTTTGCATGTGCATTCATCATATGTCGGACCAGAAGCCTATTGATTTTGGATGAATTATGTCGTATAATTAGCCAGTTATTTATTAATTAGTGATAGGACATAAGGTGTCACTATGGAGTAAGAGCGCTGTTTTGGGGGATCCCCTACCTTTCGATCAATAAGTCTTCGGTCTCTGACCGATATTCTCGTTTAACATTTTGATTGAAATTGCATCTGTCTTGTAAGCTTTCATTGACATAGAAAGTAAGATTTTCAATCACCTGTTGCCCATGATTGTCTGTCTGGTATACTGATCTAATTGGTTCACAAAAGAAATCAATAGAACTGATATACATATAGAGAATTCAACATATGGAAGTCATCAACAAATTGTCAAGAAACGACATGATGGCAATATGGGATACACAAATGAATTCTAAACTTTTGATGGAATGCCAGGTTCAACCCAAACATTTTGTATATGATGTTGTACAAAACTGCAATGCAATATGATCACGAACCCCTGACTACTTTGATGTCAAAATACCAATCACTCAACAAAATTTATCCACCGTCACACTATGTTTGTGCTATTGAAATGAATGACAGTTGAAAGACACAAATCTTACTTCAAATTCATCTAGGAGTATGTTATCCATGATAAAACAATTTACGATTTACAGTGTTGACACTGATGATGAAAACTAAACATAAATATACTCATTGACTAGAACTATTGCATATTAAATAAGTAAAACAATAGCTAATTACATGGCTGCTATATTGCCACAGTGTGATGAGAGATGAAGGAAAATTTAGCAATAGAATTTCAAGTACTCAATTATGAATAAAATAACCTACCGCTTTTAATACATCTTCTTCTAGCAGCATGTCCATATTTATTCAAACCTTTTGTTGATAATCCCACCCAGACTTACTTATAAATTAAGTATTTATTTGCTTACATGAATGCTAGTTGCAGATATTAATAAACATCATGACAAGAAATCATAAAAAAAATAATCTTTGCAGAATGTTGATCAATAATTTTATATGTTTGTGTATTGATTTTGTATCTTACTATAGAAAGCAGATTAATCAGTATTAAATTTGCTTCTTGGAAGGATCGAAACCAGTATTGGACATTCATGATCATTTTTGTAAAGCTAAGGGGACCTCCAGAAGTATGTGCACCAAGATGGCGCACACACTGAACATGGAAGTTGTATCAGGTTAGGGTCCAGGTTGCGCGCCATCTTGGTGCACATACTTTGGTAGCGCCAGCAAAACTTTGACAAGTCCAACTACCAGCACCCATTTTCAATTTACAATTCAAAACATTTTGAAATATATAATATTAAAACTACAGAATAAACTCGTAACTTACAGCTGGGGTTCCATGGCACTCTCAGGTTCCGCAAGCTTAGGTTCAACTCTGAGAGTCTATATTAATTTATGTATATATATATATATATATATATATAATTAAATGTTCTATCTATATGATTTGCCTATTAATATACAACTTGGTACACTTTGAAGATCATTTTTGTTTGCCAGAATATGATTTAATTTTATATAAATATCTTTTTATTAATTTATGAAATTTCTCAAGCCTTCAGAATGCTTCCTAGAGGTCCGAGCCATCAAAAAGGTTTAAAACCACTGGCAACTCTACGATATAAAATCTACACAAAATATGTAAGAATTTGTAAAATAAAATAATACACGGGTAATGCTGACCGAATTCATACCGGAAGGTGTTGTGGTCAATATGACTTGCGGAGCTTTTCTTCAATCTGTAGCACTTTTTTCAATTTTTTTAATCCTCAGACCTAGAAAACAATAGAACAACTTTCATTGAACAACTTTCTGGTTTATTAGCACAAGTCATAATTCTTGTTCCCCATGCGCAGGAGTAACGAAACTAACATTAAAATATGAATGTATATAGAAGTGTCCTTGAATTATAATCAAGCAGATACAGTTTATAAAACATTATGTGGTATGGTTGATAACAAAATAATTGTACTCGATTCTCAATATTATAACAAAAGTTGTTTTATGCATTTGAAATATGTCACAAAAATCAGTGTTCTATTTATTTAATCAAACTTAATGCAAAAAAATATCATAAGTTAAGATCTATTTTAGTTTAGTTTTATTAAACATGCTAAAAATGAACATTCAAAAAATGTTATTCAGTAATTAAATAAAAAATATGTTGTTAGTAGTGTGCCTTACCATCAATTCTTCTTTCTATAGTTTTTATACAACTAGATCCACATCCTGTGCCTTACGAATGCTTGAATGACGTAGATGATGAGGTCAAGAGCTAGACTGCAGCCTATCAAAACTTTATTATGCGGTATAAGGACCTGTGTTTTGTTGCATCAATTTCAGAAATTAAATAATGCTATCTTTGTGTTGTACATATTTCGCTCACAACCTTACAAGTAGATTTTCTTTAATCATTGTAGTCGAAAATTTAGAGAAATAAATAGAATCTCATATGATATGATACAAAATTAACCACTTCGATAAAGATCACAAAACTGAGAGATTTTTGCAACTATGATCTACTTTAATAAAATTTGAAATTATAAGATAGATATATAACATTTAAACTCCTTCAACAACTTGATAAGACTTTATTTTTAAACGCAGTAGCTTGCTTATTATTGTATGGATGCGTGGTTCAATCACTTTCGTTACATTTTAAAATAAAGCCAGTGAGTGATTGCGTGGTGCACAAAGTACGACAAACCATCAGAGTTATGTTTACATTTCTTTGTATACAGTTGAGATATAAAAACATAGAATAATATAATAAATAGAGTAATTGAGTTCATAATTTATTAAGAATAGTCATTGGATCATCATATTTTAGATTTTATATCCCACTTAACAAGCACCACAATTTAAATAAATTTGGCTGGTGACAGTGTCTGATAAGAAAATACAGAACTCAGAACTGAGATTTCAAATCTATTCACTGCTGTAACATGAATAAACTGTTTAATGTACGGAAAACATATGTCGGCGATTCATTTACGGCTCAAGGCATGACATCGCTCGCGCGTTCCGAGTTCTCGATCAACATTTAGTGTAACCCGGTGTCTGTGCAAGTTTTATTTCGGAGATTCCCCACGAAAGAGATTGGGAAATCCCCACTGTTGCAAATATTTTAACGACATATCTTCTCCAAAATGTCGTGTCCCACTTGTCCCACGTGTTCCACTTATACCACGTGTACCACTTATCCCACGTGTTCGACTTGTACCACTCTCGTACCACGTGTCCCGTGTCCCACTTCTCCCATGTGTACCACCAGTCACTAATACCACGTGCATTTTGCTAAAATCGTCGGTTGTTTCGCCTTAGGCAGACATTGTGGTTGGTTAGCATTAGTAACCATGCCATGACTGGAATCGGATCAAATCACTGAAACAATATACAAAGTTGTAAACGCGACGCGGATTGTGATGATAAATTAATTAATCCAATCAAGTTTTATTGCGCTAAAATATATTTTACTTCGTGAGATTATAACGGTTATATCTTAAAAATAATCTGAGTGGCAGCATTGCGATAGTGCGGTTCGGTGTTACGAGTACAGAATTCTATAATTCCCAAAATGGCAAAAATACGGATTCCTAACGGCGATAACGCATTAGCAAGATTGCAAACATACCTATCGAAACTAAATATAACCAGGCAGTTTATCTCATGTGTTTATGTCCACATATTAAATTTGTTTTTTAATGTATTAAATAGACGCCACCGTGATTTACGTTAAACACAATTAAGTTAATTATAAATAAATAATATAAATAATTGAATATTTTACGCAACAGAAAAAACTCGCTGAAAAAGTCGTTTTTTTTAACGAGCGAATATTCACCGCGACTGTTTATGAAGAAAACGAGATATAGTTTATGGACAAAATATTTAGTGAATGAGATGTATGATAAATGGGATTCATGTGGACAAAATATCTGGCAAATGAGATATACATGGACAAAACCCCTGCACGACATATATAAAGGAAACACTTCGCGAATGAGCTGTTGATTCATTATGGAAACGAGATGTATGTAGACAAAATACGAGATTTATCACGTGAACGAGATGTATGTAAAAAAAAATCTGCTGAACGACATATATGAAGATAAAACACTTTGCGAATGAGCTGTTGGTAGACAAAACATCTGTTAAATTATATGTATGGTAAATGGGATACATGTGGAAAAAACATCTGATGAATAAGATGTAGGTGTACAAGTCATGTGACTCCTAACTTTTTCGTTAAACTTCTTCCTTCTCAAATTTTTGAACCTTTTATTCTTCCCTCACTATGCATAAAAACTACTGTATTAATTTAATCCTTAGATCTTTGTCTGTGCGATAGTTGAAAAACCGATTTTGCACAGTTCCAGTATTTTCTAATTGAATGTGTGCATTATATTACAATAAGCATAATGAACTTTGGAAAATACTACAGCAAACTATACTACAGCAAATACAAAGCCGATTCCTACACAAAACGACAAAGTTACTCGCCAGGGATGAATTTTTTCCCGGTTTGGAAAACGTTCCTCCAATGAATGAAATATTTGTAGAAAATATACGTGACGAATAAGCCTACTTTACATATAGTATATGCTCAATCTTTAAATGAACGATTGAAGCAATTCGTTTATTTTTGTTAGAAAGACGCATTTGTAAAGCTGACTAATTCCCTCAAAAACATGACCGTATGTTCTTTGTAGTGAATGCTCCAAAAATATATGA